AGCAGCAGCGAGAGCAACAAAATCAGCTGCAGCAGCGAAATAAGCAGCAGCAGCGACAAAAGGAAGAGCAGCAGCAGCAGCAGCAGCAGCAGACTCGCGCGATGGTAGATTCTCTCGCGAGCGCCGCGCGAAGCCGCGGATGCAGCAGCAGCACAGGGGGAGTCTGCAGCTTTGTCTCCTTTTGAATTGCTGCTGCTGCTGCTGCTTCATTCAAATCTGTTTCTGCTTCTGTCTCCGAGTCTCCTCTTAGTCCGCTGAGCGAAGCTGAAGTGGCCGTAACGCCCCTCTCAGCCACATCAAAAGGCCTGCGCGCAGGTGCGCCCGCTGTTGCTGCTGCTGCTGCTGCTGCTGCTGCTGTGGTTGAGGGTGACTCTGCCAGTGAGGGTGCTGGAGATCTCACTTTCGCTGTCTCTGCTGCTGCTGCTGGCTGTGCACTAGTTAGGGAACTTTTTCTCTTGCTTTTGCGCTGCTATTTGTGCTGCTGCTGCCACAGCAGCAGCAGCAGCAGCTGCTGCTGCTGCACTTGCCTGAAGCAGAGTTCGCCCTCCTTTGTCTCGTAAACCCTTCCCGTGTCTCTGTTTCTCAGCGACTCCATGGGCTGCTGCAGGCCGCAGCTAACTCGCTGCAGCAGCTGCTGCGCCTGCTGCAGCAGCTGCTGCTGCACTGAATGCTGCACCTCGCGGCCCTGCAGCAGCTCCAGCAGCTGCTTGTGGCGGTCGCGGGTGTCGGCCACCAGCTGCAGCAGCGGCAGATGCAGCACAACAAATTGAATTATTTGTCTCCTTTTTTGTCCCTTTTATCTCATTTGTCTCTTTTTCTTTCTTTGGTTATTCCCTCTTTGTCTTTATTTGTATATTTCCTTTTTTGTCTCTTTTTGCATGCGCTTGGGCCCTTTTGCTTTCAGCCTCGCTGCTGGCCTCTAGGGTTTAGGGTTTAGGGTTTAGGGTTTAGGGACTGCATGGAGAGACGTGGGGGTCGAGTTTGCTGTTTGAGATTTTGACGCAGCAGCAGCGGCTGCTATTTGGGGTTTAGTGCGCCGGGCGAGGGTTTAGCGGCTAGGGTTTAGGGTTTAGGGTTTGCGTGGGCTAGGGCTGCGGCTCCCGGGTCGAAGTCCTAGGGTTTAGGGTCTAGGGTTTAGGGTTTACGGCTTCGTCTGGGCTCAGTTTGGCGATCTCTGCCTTCAACTCTTCAATTCTTTCCTCCAAAACCTTCACTTCTTTTTCGTAAACTTGTCGGTCTGCTGCTCGCAGCCTCTCGTGGCTCTCCAGCAGCCGCTGCTGCTGCTGCAGCTGCAGCAGCAGCCGCTGCAGCGACACCTCGCGGTCTTGCCACCTGTCCAGGGCCCCCTCCAGATCTCCGACGTAGCTAAGCAGCACCACAGAAATGAAAACAAACCCTGCAGCAGCAGCAGCAACAGTAGCAGCAGAAGCAGCAGCAGCAGCAGCAGCAGCAGCAAGCTCACCGCTGATAGGCTGAGACCTCAACGTCTAGGACGGACACCACAGAAGTCAGCGACAGCAAAAGGGCCTCAGCCAGCACCACCCGCTGCTCTCTGTTGGCTCCAATCAGCAGCCGCAGCAGCACGCGCATGTCTCTGCAGCAGCAGCAGCAGCAGCAGTAGCAGCAGCAGCAGTAGCAGCAGTAGCAGCAGCAGCAGAAGCAGCAACAGCAGTGTCGAGGCCAAGAGTGGAAGCGTTTCATGCAGCGTCAGTCAATCGGTCAGCCCAGACGGCAGGCAGCGCAGCGGCTGCTGCTGCTGCTGTTGCTGCTGCTCCAGTGACAACAGCCGCAGCAGGAGCTGCCGCTGCTGCCGCCGCGCTAGCAGCAGCTGCCTATGGCAACTGCAGCAAGTAGAGCTGGCTGCAGTGGGTGCAGTAGCGGCAGTAAGCGGAGCAGTAGCAGCGCCAGCAGCAGCAGCAGCAACAGCAGCAGAAGCAGCAGCAGCTGTACCTGAAACAGGGCAGCAGCTGCTCTTCCACCAAGTCGGCCGTGCAAAGCTGCAGCACAACTTCAAGTGGGGGGTCATCTTCGTCTAGGCTGCTGCGCAGCTGCTGCAGCACTTGCTGCCGGCGCAGGTGCTGCTGCTGCTGCTCCTGCAGAGACAGAGGAAGGTCCGAGATAAAGCAGCTAGGGCTTCCTCTCCGCGCTGCTGCTGCTGCTGCTGCTGCTGATGGATTTGAGGTGGACATACACCTCGCAGGGCCTGCGGAGACAGGCCGGCGACTGCTGCATCTTCGGGAGTCTACGCAGGCAGCAGCAGCAGCAGCAGCAGGAGATTCTGCTGTTGCTGTTGCTGCTGCTACCGCGTCTGCTTCCAGCCCTGAAGCCATCCGGCTGCGCGCTCTCCTTCCAGCAGCAGAGGCGGTGGAGGGCCGCGGTTGCGCTGTTGCTGCTGCTGCGCCGAATGAGCCCCTGCTTGCAGCAGCAGCAGCAGCAACAGCAGCTCTTGCTTTTTCTGTTGCTCTTTGAGAAGCAGCAGTTAGGCGCATGAGGGCCTTCGCAACTGCGAGATCTATTGTCTGCGTGTCTCTCTGAGTCCTGCGGCTGCAGCTGCTGCTGCTGCTGCTGTTGCTGCGGCTGCTGCGGCCCATCTCCTCAACAGCAAATGTTTCGCTGGGACGGGAGGAGCTGGGGTGCTGTTGGCCATCGACGCTGCTGCAGCAGCTAGCAGCAGCAGCGCCAGCAGCAGCAGCAGCAGCAGCAGCACATGGATTCCCCCCAACCCCTCCCAGCAAAGAAGCCCCACCCCAGGAAGCCTCGGTGGGCAGGCAGCTGCTGCTGCCCCCTGCTGCAGTGGTGCAGCAGGAGGCTTCTCCCCTAGGGCTGCAGCTAGCACATCCAGGGCAGATAAAAGTGCTGCTCTCCTTCTTGCTGCTGCTGCTGCTGCAGCAGCAGCTACTGCTGCTGCTGCTGCTGTTAAAGTACCCCCTGCGGGAACATGGACAAGTGCGGGGCCGCTCAAAGCCCAGCAGCCGCAGCCGCTCTTCAAAAAGGTCTTCACAGTGCAGCAGCTGCGGTGGAGGGCCAGCTGCGGCCTCTGCAGCAGCAGCAGCATCAGCAGCAGCAGCAGCCGCTGCTGCTGCTGACGCTGCAATCTGCTGCTTCGGTGCTGCAGGCGGATAACGCATGGAGTTGTAGGCGAAGCGCTGAGATGAAGTCGCCCGGAATAAATGCCTGCTCCCACAGCAGCAGCAGTAGCAGCCAAAATAGCAGCAAGAGCAGCAGCAGCAGAAACAGAAGCAAGAGCAGCAGCAGCAGCAGCAGCAGCCACATAAACATATGGCTAGAGGTAGTCTTGAAGCGGCTAGCCACAGCTAGCTGCCGCCTCAAAAGCGCAAGCCCCGCAAGAAGGGCAATAAAATAGCACAGCAGACATTGGGGAGTTTGATTAGAGATAAGGGTTTAGGGTTTAGGGTTTAGGGTTTGGAAATAAGGGCATAGGGTTTAGTGCCCACGCAAAGCGACTTTGTTTCGCCCAAGATAACGGCGGTCGAAGCTCAACCTCATCGTCCCCTTCTGCAACAGAGGCAACAGCAGCAGCAGCAACAGCAGCAGCAGCAACAGGAGCAGCAACAGCAGCAGCAGCAGCAGCAATAACGATGAGAGCAGCAGCAACAGCAGTTGTGCTGGGGCATTGCCTCTCGGTCTGCTCCTATCGCGTATCTCAGCCGGAAACTTTTATCTGTTTAGTTGTGTTTGTTTGCGTTTTTATTTATATTTCTTTTTCTCGTTTTTATTTCTTTTTATTTCTTTTGTTCCTTTTATTTCTTTCATTTCTTTTATTTCTTTTTTTCTTTTTTTCTTACCAAGAAGCTCCGCGCCCACCCGTGTGGCCTTCGAAGAGCCCCGCAGTGACTGCAGGCAAAGGGCGAGGGGACAGGAATCTCTTTGCTGCTTCTCGGCCACAGCAGCAAGGCGCTCCACGGCCCTTTCTGCTGCTGCTGCTGCTGTTGCTGTTGCTGTTGCTGCTGCTGCTGCTGGGTCCTGCAGACGCACTCAGGAAGCGAAGGCGGAGGCGCGTTGGCGTGTGGAGATACACCCCAACCCCGTGCCCGGCGAGGCTCCCTCAGCAGCTAGCTAGCCACTCAATTCCTAGCTAGCTAGCTAGCTAGCTAGCTAGCTCATGTCTACTAGCTGGCTAGCTAGCCAGCTGCTTGTGGCTAGCTAGCTAGCTAGCCACCATGCTAGCTTGCTGGCTAGCTCTCTAGCTAGCCAGGCAGCAGGTTAATTAGCTAGCTAGCTAGCCAGGCAGCAAGCAAGCTAGCTAGGTAGCTGGCTAGCTAGCTAGCTGGCCACTAGCCAATCTTTATGATTTCTGATGTGTGTACTTGCCTGCCTGCTGTCTGCTGCTGTCCTCTCGGCCCCCTCAGCAATTTCGTCTTCTAGGAATTGCTGCATCGCCTCCAGCTCTGTGTTCACCACACTCAAAGGGCCCAACTGCAGCAGCAGCAGCAGCAGCAGCAACAGCAGCAGCAGCAGCAGCAGCAGCAAGCCGCAAAGCAAACACAAGCAGTGGCACGGGTGGCACTCTAGTGCTACAAGGTGGTCAAGTTGCACCGGTGCTGCAGCAGCAGCAGCAAATACGCACTTGTCTGAATGCTGCTGCTGTTGCTGCTGGTCATTCTGCCCCCTTTGCTGTCGCTGCTCCTGGAGCAGCTGTTACAGGAGCCTGTTGCGACTGCAGCAGTTTTATGTTCACACAGACTTTCTTGCTGCTGTTGGCTGCTGTTGCAGCAGGACTTTGCCCTTCCAGCAGCTGCCCTACGTGTGCAGCAGCAGCATACTGCCTGCTGCTGCTGCTGCTGCTACTGCTGCCGCCGCTGTTGCTGCTGCTGCTGCTGCTGCTTACCCGGGACAATGACCGGCGATGTAAGGACCCTGCTTTGTCAGAAAGGGCCAGGAGCTCGGGGGAAGGGTAAAGCCCGTTGCTTGGTGTCTCTTTGTCGCTGGCAGTGGGCTGCTGCTGCAGCGTTTGCTGCTGCAGCGTTTGCTGCTGCAGCGTTTGCTGCTGCAGCGCTTGCTGCTGCAGCGTTTGCTGCTGTGGCGGCTGAGCCGGGGATTTGGCCTGCAGCAATGCGACGGGGCAGCCCCGCAGTGTTGTAGTGTCGTCAGCAACAGCAGCGGCAGCAGCAGCAGCAGCCCGAGGAGCGACAGCAGCAGCTAAAACAGCAGCAACGGCTGGGGAAGAAGGAACAAGAGGTACATAAATGCGGCAAGCAGCAGATGAGCAGAACAGCAACTGCTGCAGCACGCGGAGCAGCAGCTGTTAGAGTAACATGGCAGAGAGCAGCAGCATCAGCAACAGCCCTGGCCTTCACTGCTGGGGCGCCCGCGTGCATTTGCAGCAGCGACCTGAATGCAGCAGCAGCAGCAGCTGCTGGTGCTGCTGCAGCAGCAGCAAGAATGGCAAATTGGGGTGTAGATCCACCTACATCTCCTCTTTTCTGGGTGTGGGGTTTGTTGCTTGGGGGTTTTCCTCCTTTCTTTTGGCTAAGAGTATTTAAAGGACTGCCTTCAATGAGCAGCGACTGACACTGTCTTCGAAAGCCTGTAAGGCCTTTGTTGTTGCTGTTGCTGCTGCTGCTGCTGCTGTTGGTGGGCCATGGGGGCGCTCCGGAATATGCCTGCGAAACTGTCTGGCTGCGGGGGCGGCTCGGGAGATAAGGGTGAAGGAGATGCCCCCAAGAAAAAGGCGGAGGCCGAGCCATGTGCTTACGCAGCAGTAGCAGCAGCAGCAGCGTCCCCTGCTGCTGCTGCTGCCCCTGCTGCCCCTAAGACTAAGGAGCTAGCAGTACGAGGGAGAGGCTCCGCCTGAGTCCGTTTCAGCCTGCCTTTACGTTTCGCATTTCTAATTAAGCTTTAATTCTAGAATTTAATGAGTTTAGGTCTTTCAGCGTGTTCGTTCTTCTAAACTGTTTGCCACATTAATGAACTATTCAACTGGCGTCTCCTGTGTGTGATCCGGGTGTGTCTTGTCTATGCAGCTGTTCCTTCAGGACCTCAGTAGTGCATTTATTTTGTTTTTTTACATATAATAATTATGAACATGTTCTTACTCTAGGGGAGGGGGGAGGCCTCTGGGCCTCTTCAGGCCTGGGAGCCCCGTTTCGGGTGTGGCTAGGGTTTAGGGTTTTAGGGCTTGGCTTTTAGGGTTTACAGCAGTGGCTGAAGAAAGCCTGTCGTAAGGGTTTGTTCTTTTTCTCTTTTTGATAAATTTAATGTATTTATCCTCTAAAGAAAAGATAAGAGCGCGAAAATGCTGGTGGGGCCGCAGGGTCACTTTCATTGCCAGCGATAGCAGACAAAAACGTGAAAAAAGCGTGTAAAACCATAATTCTCTCGATGGATCTACTCAAGTTATGCATAATCATATTCAAAAGTACTCTGAAATAGGCTGTGAATTCTGGACTCAGAGTTAGGCGAAACAAAAACTCGGGAAATGCCAACAACCAAGTAGTGGCTGAAAGACAGGAGGAGTTTCTTTCACTATTCTTTATCCCCTTTTTTGCGTTTCCGCGTTTCATCCCTTGACACTTTTATTATTTCTGTCTATTTATTTTGTTTGTCTTCTCTTTGCTTGCTTCTTTATCTGCTTGGGCCACATGCTTCTTGCTTGTCTTCACGCCTCAACTCTGTACACATTTGCTGCTTTCTCTCTTGCTTGTTATCTCGCGCTTGTATCTCTCTTCTTCTGGATTTCCGTCTTTTTATAAACACATGTATTATTCACTTTTGTTTTTTTGGGATCTCTTTGTCTGTTCGTCTTGAAAAAGGACTTAGCAGCCTCCCTTATTCTCTCCACTCTTTATTCGTCGGCCTCTCCTTGTGTCATTTTCATGGGCACTAAAGTACTTTTGATCATACATAAATATATATATTATTTCAACATTTTCCATAATCAATATGTGTCTTGGTCTGCCTCTTTCTGCTTCCACTCCCCTTTCTATTTCAGTCCGTTTTCACCGCTCGCCTATTTCTGTTTCCCTCTCTTCCGCAGTATCTCTTACGCCCTCAGCGACAAAAGCAACAAGTGTCCGAAATTTACAAATAAAGACAAAAGCAGCAGCACAGCACAAGGGGCGCATGCAAAACTGGTTGAGCCTTTGCAGCTGTGGCTTCCCATATTTAAACGGCATACCAACAGCAGCAGCAACAGCAGAAATAGTCGAAGCAGCAGCAATCGCAGCAGCAGCACTCGCAGCAGCAGTTAGGGTAGCAAAAAGGCAGGAAAGTATCTGCCCCCATTGCATGCATAATATTCCATCGCAACACTCTTGCAAGTCCACGTCTTAATGCTTAAGCCTTCACGCTCTCAGTAACTGTGGGATCCTAGACGCCACAAAATGCAGCATATTTGCAATTTGGGTAAATTTAAATGATTTCAAATAAAGGCACGTTGAGGCAACGGCAAAGACACCGCAAAAGGAAGAGTGTCAGTCTCAGTCAGGTAGTGTTTTGGTGAGGTTGGGGGGCTTTAGCCGATTCATAAGTGTCAGTCTTAGTAAATGCTTTGCTTTAAAAGCAACTAAAACATCTTTGGTCATTTTGAAACTCCGAAACTGCTAGAATTAGTCTGGGTGGCACGATTCATACGAAAGCGACCAGATGTTTGAAGAAGTATGCTTTCACCGTTCCTCAAGGAACGCTTTTCAGCCACTCTAAAGTGGAATTCCATTCAATATTTTTTCATAATCATTGCCTTTCAAGTGGTGGTTCACAAAATTTGGCCTTGGACCCGTAAAATAGGCATGTAGTGCTATCAGACACGGGGTGGGGCAGAAGGTGGAGAAATCCCCACAGGAGCCACTGGGCTAAAGATTGGTCCAAATCATCTGCACAAGTTTCAAATTATCCTTTCCAGGAATCAAACATCAAAAATTATTCTCTTTGAATTTCCAAAAAGTCTGCGTGCACTCATTCCTAGCTTTGTTAACAACCTCGCACATGGGTCACCTAGGGTATGCAGCTGGCTGTGGGGCAATTCCGTTTCTCTTGAGCCGAAATTCCGCTTTAATCTCTCTCAATTTAAAAATTTTTATTGATAACACAAGAGTACAACAAAATTAATCCCGTTAACCGCGTCGCACTCCTCCTGGTGGCTCCACCTGAACCGAGGCGATCTAGGCTCTAGAATCACATGAATGGAAACCCATTACACTCAAGTAAAGGGCAACAGAGGTTTTTTATTCATATTAGCGTATATTAGCCCTAGATTAATGCGTTATAGCCTAGGTCTGATGGTGCTGTGGGCTCGCTAACCCTGTGCGGTCTGCCTAAGAGAGGCTTGGGGTGCATAAGAGCATTTAAAAGCGGGTGAAGCTCGTGGTGGAGACACAAATGGCTAAAGCTTCTTTTTCGCTGCAACATATGCACAAATGGAAGAAGAGGACCCGGTGCTTATGCCATGTTCTCCAAAGGAAGTTAGAATTGATATTCTGCAAGCGCGTACCGGCCCCGCAACATTCAGCCGAAATGACGCAAGTTTTGTTTTAAAAACAATCTGCTGCATGAGAAAAAGACATCCTTGTTAATTGACTGCTGCAGCTGCTCTCACAACTCCACCTGAAGGCTTGATTAGAAGCAGCAGCGCTGAAGCAATGCGACAAAATTGTTGCAGTGTTTCGAATTGCTGTCAGTGCTGGAGGAAGCCACACAGCAGCGGTTAACACTCTTCGTACTGAAAAACATCTATTTTATTTATTTGCGTCCTATTCTTTGCAAGATCAAATTGAAATTTGCTGTAACCTTCATGACTCTCGATTGAGCTGTCTTAAAGGTTCTCTTTGCTGCACCTAGTTCTGCCTTAAATTGCGTGGAGCATTCCTCCACAGCCTACGATGAAATACTATTTATTTTCTCTTATAATTACGGGAAAGTGCGTAGGATATAGGAATAAATCCATAAAAGCAGCACTTTATTTTGCCTACGAAATTTGTAGGATATTTTTTGCCCACATCGTGCCTGTCTTCCCCAGCAGCAGCAGCAGCCAGCAAAAGGCTACACAGCAGCCAGCAGCAGCAGCAGCAAAAGCATCTTCTTTAATCTAGGGTGAAGCTCTTCTTTTGGGGGAACCAAGACCCTCACTAGCTTGTGGGAAGCGCAGTATTAAGTTACAAAAATTTATTTTCCAATAAGCCCCCACAGCCCTCCTAAGATTTCCTATGCCACTTTCGTTCTTTTAAAAGATCTCTTACCCCATTTTATCTCCCCTTCTGCCCTCCCTTGAACTAGCCTGTTCGTTTCCTTCCTTTAGAACAGGCTTTTATGTGTTTCTGATAGAGTGCTGCTGCTACTTCTGAAGGGACGCTGCTGCTGCAGTGCTGCTGCTGCTGATAGAGTGTTGCTGCTCTGCTGCCTCAGGCCTCCCATCCAGTTGCACGGCTGCTGCTAGCGGCTACACACTACGAGCTAATTAGTCTAATTCCTCTTTCTCGTAGTGGCTACATGATGGCCTTTCTGAAAAGAATAAAGTCATTAACTTGTTGCCTGCGCTACAGTGTGATTCCAAACTAGCGCTTCTGTGGCAAACTTTACCAGGGGAGTCTCCCCTTACTGCCCTGCGGTGCTGCACTGGAAGGCTACTATGCTCATGTGATTAATAAAAAAGTAACAAATGCAGCAAAAGTGCCAAAATGGAGAACAGCGGCAAATGAAGCAGGACCGAGAGCAGCAGCAGTAATAGGATGCCATCAGCAGCAACAGAAAGACCACCACCAGCAGCAGCACCGGCAGCGCAGGCCCCGAGCCTTTCTTCTGTCTGCACACAGCAGATTGGCTCTTGAATTGTCAGCAAAACCAAAATTAAACAATAAGAAGACAAACAGAGCCTTAAGGCTGGAGGCTAAACCCCAACAAAAGGCAAGGCTTGGGCTGGTGGGATCTATGGTTGCTGCGGGACAAGACACGATCGGGGGGCCCTTGTCTATCTCGTGTCTTTATAGATTCGCGTGGTAAACCTGTTCATCTTAATAACAAAACCCTTTGAGCAGTTCCTCAAGACCCCACAGACAAGGACCAGGGGGCTCTGCAGTGTTGCGGTGGCATGCACCAGCAGCAGCAGCAGCAGCAGCAGCAGCAGCTGCAGCCGCTGCCACAAACGGAGGAATCACGCGAGCACAGGTTTTGTGTGGGGAGAATCTGTAGGCCTGTGGACCCCTTAGTAACCTTAGGAGTAGTTGTTTAGCTGCGTTGGGGTCTCTGAAGAGGAAGGTCCATGCGACCATTCCCGCGTCTGCTAGTGTTGCTCCCACCAGCAGCAGCAGCAGTGGCAGCAGCAGCAGCAAGAGCCCGGCGAAAGTTCTTTTTTGCGGCACTTCTGGCAACTTGAATAGTTTAGCAGCCGCGGAGCAGCACACAGGCCGTGGCCGTGCTGCGCAACGCTTGGGATTTGGGGATCGCAGCAGCAGCAGCAGCAGCAGCGTTGCAGCGACTGCAGCAGCTGCAGGCGTAGGACTGAGACCTTGTCCATGGGGCTATTTTTTTAGTCTTCTTTATTTCTTGGAACCTTTTCAGCAGCAGCTTGCACTTGCTGCTGCAGCGGTCGAGCTGTTGCTGCCGCCCCACCACCCCCCAGCAACACAGCAGCAGCCGCAGCAGCAGCAGCAGCAGCAACGCAGCTGCTTCTCGCGTGCGCCGCCTCTGCAGTGCTGCTCAGGCCAAGAGAGCCTTAATAGGTGTGGGGTCGTTTCATGCTGGGGCCGCCTCTTCTGGGGCCAGGGATCGCCCCACTTTGACCTGGGATCGTGTTCTGTCCTCACTGGGATCGTCTTCTCCTGGCCTGGGATCGTCTTCAGGAGCCCTGAGATCGTGTGTTTGCTGCTGCCTTCCACTGCTGGGGTGTGGGGCCGGCTCGGGTTGGAATCATCTCCCAGCTTTTGGTGTCGCTGCTGCAGCTAGGCGCAGAGGGGCCAGCACGGGAAAACAGCAGCAGCGGGAGCAGCAGCAAGTGAAGCAGCTGCAGCAGCTGCAGCAGCAAATGCATAGAAGAGATGACAGCTAACTCTGATGGACGCGGCGCTCTCGGTGGGCCCCCTGAAGACTCATGCAAAGGGCGCTGCAGCGCTGCTGCTGTCTTAGCAGCAGCAGCAGCAGTTGATGCTGCTGTGTTGCCTGTGGCAAAATCGGAAGCAGAAAAGGCGATAGCAGCAGAAGAGGCAGCAGCATGCGTTGGCGGCTTACCTGGCGGGGCCCCACACCATGATGCCAAGCGTTGGCATGCAGCAGCAGCTGCTGCTGCTGCTGCTGCGACGGCACCAGAAACTGCTGGAGGGATACTTGGGATGCCCTTAGCTGACGGTGAAACTGCTGCGTGTGCCGCTGGTGCAGCAGCACAAGCAGCAGCAGCGCTTGCCGCAGCGGAGAGGACTCAGAGGGCCTCGCCGCTGATGACCAGCAAAGATGCAGCAGCAGCAATTGCTGCTGCTGCAGCAGCAGCAGAACAGCCAAGCGGTTCTCTGGACCCCGGTGAGCTCTGCGGCGTGTTCTTCAACGCTGTGCAGCAGCTGTCGCGCGAGGATGGAAGCAGCAGCAGCAGCAAGAGATGCAGCGAGGGCTGCAGCTCCACTGAGCCGCAGGACATGGGAGCAGCAGCAGCAGCAGCAGCACACGCTGAGCAGGGCACCGCGTCAGCAGCAACAGCAGACCCTGCAGCAGCAGACCCCAAGGGGCCCCGAGCGAAGATCTGCGACTTTGAAGCTGATGCGGACGACTCCTCCCTCAACAAAATATCTTTGGAGTACTCGTACGAGGTGCGTTTAGGGTTTAGGGTTTAGGCTCTAGGGTTTAGGGTTTGGGATTCAGCCCCCAGGGTGCATGAGCTAGGGTTTAAGGTTTATGGTTTAGTCTTTCATGTTTAGGCTCCGGAGTTTAGTGTCCAGGGTGCAAGTTTTCGTATTAGGGGTAGAGTTTGCAGGGTTTGGTGTTTCGAGGGTGTGGGCTCCGTTTTGAGGGTTTAGGGTTTAGGGTTTGGGGTTTGTGCGCTGCAGGAGATATACGCGGCCACCGACGGCTTCCGCCACGTCCTGGGGCTGGGCGCCTACGGAACAGTCTACAGGGGTTTCATGCGTGATGGTTTGGAGGTGGCTGTCAAGAGGCTCAACGACCCTTCGGAGGCTGGCTTCGAACGCGAGGTCGTCGTCCTCTCCAAGTTCAGGTCTGCTGCTGCTGCTGCTGCTGCTGCTGAGGGGGTGCTGCGGGTGTGGAGGGTGCTGCCGCTGAGGCGGGGGGTGCTGCTGCTGCTCATGGGGTCCTGCTGCTGTGGGTGATGCTGCTGAGGCGGGGGGTGCTGCTGCGGACGCTGCTGAGTCGGTGCTGCTAAGGATGCTAAGGAGGGTGCTGCGGATGCTGGTGCTGCTGAGGCGGGTATTGCTGCTGCGGATGCTGCTGCTGCGGGGGGGGGGGGTGCTGCTGCTGGGGTGGGGGGGGCTGCTGCTGGTATTGAGGAGGGTGCTGTTGCTATGGATGATGCTGCTGCTGAGGCGGATTTTGCTGTTGCGGATTATGCTGCTGCTGAGGCGGGTTCTGCTGCTGCGAAGGCGCTGCCAGTGAACCTGTACATGAGCTCACCTCTGCTGCTGCGAGGGCTCTTGTTTTGCTGCTGCAAAGCCGAGGCTGCTGCTTGTCCTTTTTTGCTGCTGCTGGCTGGAGGGTGGCTGCTGCCTTTTGCATTTGCTTTACTGGCACGGTTTGGCGCTGCTGCACAGGCACCCAAACTTGGTGATCTTGTTGGGATTCGCTCGTCATGGAAAGGACCGTTTCCTCATTTACGAAATGATGGCTGGTGGTGACGTCTCAGGGCACTTGCAGAGAGGTGCGTTTTGCTGCCTCGGTTGCTGCTGCTGCTCCTGTTCATAGTGTGGGGGCCTCGAGACGGCCCTTTCTGGCTTGGCTGCTGCAGCTTTACAGTGTAAACACGCATCAGCACCAGAAACCGAAGCAGAGAGACGCACTTCTTTGGAAGTGCCTTTGCCGCTGCTGCTTCTGCACGCTGCTGCTGCTGCTGCTGTGTGCTGCAGGAACGCTGACTTGGCTGGACCGCCTCTGCATTGCCCTGGACACGGCGGTGGCTTTGTCGCATCTCCACCGCCACTGCCCCACAGTTTATCACCGCGACATAAAAACAGCAAACATCTTGTTAGACAAGCACAAACACGCAAAGGTTCGGCAAAATAGACCAAAACTTATAGGACTGCAGTTACCTTTCATGGTGTTTGATGAATATACTTCATGAAGAGTTGCTGTGCCCCTCTAGCGGGGAAATTTACACTGCCAAAGGACCACCTGTCTAATGCTGCTGCTGCTGCTGCTGCTGCAGGTTTCGGACTTTGGTTTGGCTTGCCTCGCTAAAAAGGGAACAGGGCGTTTTCCTGTGCGTCAGACAGCGGGAACCGTTGGTTATGCAGATCCCAAGTACATTGCCAGGTGGGACAAGTTGTCTGTCTTTAACTTTGCTTATCTCTTCTGTTTCATTATTTCATCCTTTTGTGTTCTTTTTCACCTACCTGGTGCTGCTGCTGTTGCTGCTGCAGCTCGTTGGTCTCTGAGATGGCGGAGGTCTATTCCCTCGGGATGGTCATGTTGGAACTCCTCACGGCGAAGCCTCCAGTCATTATTGTGAGTCCTGCTGCTGCTGCCGCTGAGTGGTTTGTTGAGTACGCTGTACTTGCTGCTGCTCTATTTTTCGCGGATCTGTGTTTTTGTCTTCCGTCTTTGTGTTTCAAGCAGTCACCTCGTCTGCTACGTGGCAGTCTTCATCTTTCCTTTCTCTAACTTGTGCCTTTTCTTCGGATTTCCTCGTCTTTCCTAGCTCATTTGTTTCATCAAGTTGTACTGAAAAGTGCTTCGACTCACTCCCACTCAGTACTTGTAGACTCAAATAGAGTCAAGTAGCCCAAATAGACCTTTAAACAGCAAAGGCTCGTTTTGCTGCAGAACTCCGACGGCTCCCTCACCTTTGTCCTGGCTCTCCTCGCCCGAGACCCTCCCCGCCTCATTAAGGCCGCCGATACCCGCGCGGGTTTCCCCGCCTCAGTGCTTCATGCCTTCGCAGAAGTGGCGGTTAGGTACGTGGCAGCAGCAGCAGCAGGGGCATCAGCAGCAGACGGGGAGGGTTTTTGAAAACGGAAGCCGAGATGCTGAGCTCCAGAATCTGCTGCACATGGCTAAGTTGAAGGGCCAGAACTTGGGGTGTAAATTTAGGGTTTGGGATTAAGAGTTGCTGCTATGTTCAGCTGCATTCGTGATGATGACATGAAACGCCCCTCTTTCCAGACAATTGTCAAACAGCTCCGTTGTCTCAAAGAAGCAGCAACAAGGTAAAGCACTTAGTCTTTTCTATTCTTGTGCATGTCTTGCTCGTTTGTTTTATGTCTCTTGTTCTGATTTGTATCGCCTGACTGTTTTTCTTGTCACTATCCGTTTTTAACTTCTGCCTTTTCCTTTTGCATCAGATTTGTGCCAGTGGCCATACGCCTTGCTGCTGCTGCTGCTGCTGTCGTTTGCTGCTGCAGTCTCTGCATGAACCCCAAGTCGTTTCCGCAGAGGGACCGGGGTTTCGCGCTGCAGCTGCAGCGAGGCGTTGGAGTTGGTCCTACAGTGCCCGAGGCTCTGAGACCCTTGAAGCAAAAGCTGCCGCTGCCTCCCGCTGCAGTCACTCCTGCAGCAGCAGCAGCAGCAACGAAGCCATCTAGGCAGCAGCCAGCATCAGGTGAGCCCCGAAGAAAGCCTTTTAGAAAAGAAAAGCTTTCGACGCGTTCTGCTTTCCGCAGGTTTAAGTGCGTTTCAACTGCAAGTGCAACTGCTGCTGCTGTAGGTGGCTCTTCTCAAGAAAGTGGGGCTGCCTCTGGAGCAGCTGGAGAACGCAGAGATCCTGTGGTGGCTGCACCGCCTACGACGCTGTGCGCAGTAAACATCAACCAGCCCAGCTGCGGCGAAGTCCCCCCGCAGCAGCAGCAGCTGCAGCAGCAAGTAACGCATGTGGGACAGGAAACGGGTGCTGAGGGGAGGCCAAGCTCTCAAAGGATCCGGTCTTCTCTTCCAGCAATTGTTGCTGACGTTGCTGTTAGTGTGCCACCACAGTATGATAAGGAGACGACAATGCTAAGTGTTGCAGCAGCAGCTGCTGCTGCTGCGTGTACCTCTGCAGTGATGCCCCCAGCTCCAATGCAGGCAGGCCCTACAGCTCCCCCCCATGGTGTTAGCACTGCAACGAATGTTTTGGCAGCAGCAGCAGATGCCGTGGCTCCGGCAGGCTCCGTAGCAGCTGCTTCTGCTGCTGCAGCAGCAGCGGCAGCAGCAGCAGAGCCTGCTGTGTGCCCTGCTGCTTCGTGTTCGGTATCAGCGCCTCCAACGACAGCAGGCATTGGTGTTTCCTCGTGGGCACCTGCATCCTGCAAGAGCGAAGAAGCAGCAGTTGCTGCTGGTGCTGCTTCGGCCATCCCGCGACAACAATCCCGTAGCGCAGGCTCTCTGTCTCGTGATGTAGCAGACCCACAGAGGAACTTGGCTCTGCAAGAGCAGCAGCTCAGACACGAGCTGGAGGTGCAGCAGCAGCAGCAACTGCAGCAACAGCAGCAGCCCAACGTGTGCCTCAGGCTGCCCCGTACGGTCACAGCCATCAAATGCGAGTCGCCTGGGGAGAGCCCGGGGACAGGGGAAGCAGCAGCAGCATCTGGAGCAGCTGCAGCAGCTGGTGAGCAGGGAACAGCTGTAACGATGCCTTCTTGCGCTGCCTTCCTAGCCGGCCCCGCAGCAGCAGCACCGAGCGGAGACAGTGTGCTCCTAGCTGCTCCGTCGTGGCCCCGGAGCGAGCAGCAGCAGCGGCAGAAGGCGAGGCGGCAGTCGCGAAAGAGCAGGAAAAAGCAGCAGCTAATGGGTGCCGATGGAGAGTGCCGTTCACTGCTGCTGCAGCAGCTACAGCAGCAGCGGCGACTTCGCGGCTGCACGGCCAGCACCACCAGCACCATGACGAACGGGGGCAGCACAAGCAGCATCAGCAAGTGCGGCAGCAACCTCTGTAGTAGGAGCAGCAACGGTTGGAGCAGCTGCTGCAACAGCAACCACAGCATCAAGTCCACTATCTCTTTGTCAGCTAGCCGCTTACTTCTCTATGCAGATTTCCTTGGAGAGGCAGCAACTCCGGGAAGGAGTCCCAGCAGCCGCGCTTCCACACGAAGCGGCGCCTTTGCTGCTGCTGCTGCAGCGGCTGCGGCAGCAAGTGCGGGGAGAAGCTCTTGTGGGGGCAGCGGTTCCCCTTCGGCCGCGGCTGCAGCAGTAGCAGCAGCTGCTGTTGCAGCTAGCGGAGATAGTGCCCATGTGTTCCGTTCGGTTGCTGCAGCACCGTTGGGCAGGGTTGTGAGACGCACAGTGGCGCTTACGAGTCCCAGTGAGCAGCAGCAGCAGGCGCAGCAGCAGGCGCCGGAGCAGATGCACCTGCTGCAGCCATGCATGGAGGGGCACCAGCTGTTGCTGCTGCAGGGACAAAGACAAGTTGTCTCTTCACGCGCCTTAATGCTCCCACTAGGCAAGAAGGCAGGCGAGGCGGCGTGCCGCATAGCTGCTCCTTCCCAGAACTCTTTAGATGCAGCATCTGCTGCTGCTGCAGCCTCACGCAGGCATTGGAACTTGCCACCCCCACAGGCGCAGCAAGGCGCAAACTGTGCAGGCAAAAGCTGTGTGGACACCCCGGCCTCAGGGCAGCGGCAGCAGCAGCAAGAGCAGCGGCAGCAGCAGGAGCCAACTGCTGCGCCGAAAACGCCTTTTGGCTTCGTTAAGTCTCTACTCAGCAGCATCAGTCTTGCAGAGAAGCTGGAGGGTGCTCTCCAGCAGCAACAAAGTGCAACATCAGCAGCAGCACCACCACTAGTTTCAGCCGGGTCATCGTTGCCTGCTGCGTCAGAGCAGCAGGACACATACGGCGCGCAGGGCGACAGAACGCATGTTTCCGTGACAGGCATGCACTGCTCAGCTGCTCGAGCCGCACCAGCAACGGCAGCAGCAGCAGCAGGTGCTGCTGCTGCTAGCCAGTCGTGGCGGCCGTCCACCACTTCACTAGATACAAAAGCAGAGGAAGCCGCAGCAAAGGCAGCGGCAGCAGCGAGGGCAGCGGCACAAGCTGCTTCTGCTGCAGCAGCTGCTGGGCACGTGAAGCGCAACGTTGTCATAGGAACAAGCCGCGTCCTCATTCCTGCTGCTGCTGCAGAAGCACCCCGGAGGCAGCTGCCGGCACTGCTTTTGCAGCAGTCTCTGCCCCTAGTGGAGTCCTCACAGCTGCGTGCTGCAGAGGGGCTTGTTTCCACAGCAGCAGATTCAGCAAGTACAGCAGGGAAGGCAGCAGCAATAGGTACAGCTCAAACATGTCTTCCTGGGGACCAGCAGCAGGTGCGCCAGCAGCGGCAGCACGTACAACAACAGCAAGTGCAGCAAGAGCAACTGCAGCAAGTGCTGCTGCAGCAGAGCGCGACCCTGTCCAAGTTTCAAGCGTTTTTTTAAGCCTGCCGTACCCCAGTGAGACACTCGCCAGCCGGAATATCGGGCGGAGTTTCGGTTTTCTGAAGTAAAGCCCAAAACCTGCTTTTAAATAGTCACTGGACTCAGCTAATGGCCTGTGCATGCATATATGCACAGGTGCATGGGGACAAGCGTGCATGCGTGCACAGGTGCATGGGGACATGCGTGCATGCGCAGAGCGTTCCCTAACGTGCAACACTCTTCCATGTAGCGTTTACAGACACGCGATTTAGACTGCAGGCGTGTGTGTCAATTGCTTGCATGTGATTAGGGTGCATGCATACGTACATATTAGAGCGCATGCATGCATATTTGGCTGCATGCATGCATGCAGCCAAGTATACATGCATGTTAAGAGTGCTTGCAATATGTTTGAAGACATGCCATCCCGTATAGGGTGCAGTGTGCATGCGGTTTGTACAGCAGTGCATGCGTGCGCCGTGCGTGCAACGAGAGGGATTTGCTTGGAGCTGAAGTGCATGCATGCATGTATGCATGCAAAAACAGAGCGGGGCACTGCGCAGCCCTTGATAAGCTCCGAAGGCATTTTGAAAGGCTTTTCTGGTCTTTCTTTCCCTGTCTTTGTCAGCCCAGGGCCGCCTTTTACATTTGACTCCCCGTGGGAAACCCATAACAAATCTTGTATGCATGCGTGGGTGTGCGGGAGAGTGCGTGCACTTATATATGAAGGCGTGCATGCAATTTTTGCATGCGTATACCCGAGGCTACAGATAGCCTCTTTTGCAGGGATCCTTGAGGACCCCGTGCCTTTTTCGTCTCACGTAGGTCCTCTCGAACTTGAATGTCTTATAAATTGTAATTTGTCCTTATATCTGCACCATTCACCGCTGTAGCATACACCCTCTTTCATGGCATTGCAGACTATTGGGAGCTCACGTTGAGTATTCTCTTGACTCCGTATCTGAAAATCTTCGTTAGTGTTTTGCAGACGGTGTGGGCCAGTAGCGCTCGACAGTGTATGGAACATACATGGGCAGCAAAGCATTGCAACAAAAAGGTCAGTGCAGGGAAAAAGTGCAGCAGCAGCAGTTATAGGAGAGTGTGTCATGTGTCTGAGCCACTGAGCGTGCATGCATGCTTACTTGCATGCAGGCAGATACTTTGTGTAGTTTGTTTTTCATTAAGACAGTGCATTCTTGGAGTTTAACTATCGAACAGGGCGTTGGCTAGGAAAGCCATTTCTTTCCTGCCGCTGTCAACAGCGGCAGGAAGCTCTTTCTTTGCCGCTGCGAGCAGCAGCAACGCGCTCATCAGCCGCTGCTCCAACACAGTACAAAAATAAACACGCAGGCACACGGGAGGCACACCTGCAAGGAAACGCATGCAACACATTGCCACAGACGCCCACAGTACACCAAGAGCAACAGCAGTAGGAAGCGCCAACAGCCGAGGCAACAGTTGAGAGAGCGGCTTAAGTTGCCACACTGGAATAATTCTTACCTCTCAGGCCCCTAAAATTCATGTTTTCTTCCGAGTGGATAGCTAGTTGCTGCTTCTCAGCTTTGTCTCTTTCCTCAGCGAACTGCCTTTCACTAGCTAGCTGTTTGAAGGCCAGGCCAATGTGGCGCAGGCTGGGATCATCTCCAGCC